ATCCTGGATTAATTGTCCTAAACTCCCGAGGGATGTTGCCAGTAGCGCTACGCCTCATGTCAGTTCTGATCAACAGATATCACTTTCTGCACCCATAGTCGTTTCACCACCTACATTAGTTGCTGGAACTAATGTCTAACTCGCTCGACATGGATCCCGTGTGTTTCCTGTGTAACGCCAGCTATCAGCTCGGATCAGTAGTTATCACTTCCTGTCACTCACCATACATGTAATCCTCCTCTCACCAATATCCCTTATCAGTTTGCTTTACAGCTGAAGTGAAAGAAATTATGAAGTGGCGGTCACACCCAGGCATACACACAAACTTAGCGGAACTGAGTAGGATCCTTGCATTTCTACAGGTACCCAACGTTCAGAATTCGCGGTGACGCCCACCACTGCAATGGCGCTCCAGTGCTATAATATGATGGGAACGCAGCCTCACCACAGACGGGTATCGATCGGGACTACCCGCTTCTGTTGGGAAAGAGAGTATACGTAAAAGGAGCTCGGGCGATGCCTCATCTCACGGTTCGCCATCGATCAGCCGCTAGTGTTTTGACAGAATACAGAAAAATAGGAGGGTATCAGACCGCGAAGTTAGCGTCTGCCCTCCTGTTATCCTATACTTTCTCAAAACGCAGGCTGCCTGCGCCGACCGATACGCGTCTGCGGCTGCATTTCCGTCAGTAACACTGGAGCGTCATTGCAGTAATAGCGCGTCGACGCGCGTCACCGCGAAGTTTGGACGCTGTTTAAGGGTATCAGCAGTGATGAAAACTTCATACTATAGTATGAAAACACCTATTACTGAGCTCGCAACAACCCTTTAACAGATGTTCGGTGCTTGAAAATGCACTAACAAATAACTTCAACTCATCATGTGATACTCTCTACTCCATTCGTGTTACTGTTGTATTCGCAAAACCATCTGAAGTGAGGGGATCTGTCTGCGATGTAATACGTTAACATGTAGGCAAATTGGACAATTTATTATGCTCATCTATACTAAAGATTTAAAGATCTCGGCGTGCTGAACATAAACAAATAGTTTCCTAAAAGCACCGAATCAACTTAAAAGAAAAAAAGAAACCAAACAATAAGTAAATGTCTAGACATAACACAGATCACACTCGGCTCAAGGAATACGGCTCGACATACAATTAAAAAAACAACGTGAATTTGAGATTTTGACGTGAAAGATGAAAGCCGGCAAGTATTATCTTCACAACAATCATAAATCAAACAACAACACATGATAAAGCATAGCTATGCATATAAAACGAAATCACGAAAACGATGGCAGTTTCACCGTCGAGCTCGCCACTCCCAATCTTCTGGCAGATCACCTCGTTTAGCTACACTGTTCGGATCTGAAGAGAGAAACCCATAAATGCCTAGTCATAAATCCATCAGAATATTGTTGATTGAAAATATTTATCTGTCTTACCCCTCATCTCATGCTGACAAGTGGGACCCAAGTAGCCTGGAGCACAACTGCATTTGCCCGTTTTTCTGTTGCAAGTGGCACCGTTGTAGCACTGGCATTTGTGTACACAGTTCTCTCCATATCGACCTTGTCGGCACACTGGAAGTATGCACATCATTGCAACGGAAATATGCTTTTGAATATCTTTTAACAAGCATAAAAAGTGCCACAACGCAACAAAGGTTTCAAAATGACCTAATGGATTGTGCCGCAGAAATGTCTGGAAGAGTTCATACCTTGCTGACATTTGGGTCCACTCAACCCTACAGGACACAAACAGGTACCATCTTTAGGATCGCAAGGGTAGTCGCCACAGTCACATTTGAGCTGGCAGTGTGGTCCATATGTGGAATTTTTACAAGACGATTCACACTGAAACCGCATCGAAAATAAGTATTTTGTTCCAGTGAGCACGATAATTTTGAACACTGTTGTTATTTGACTATGACTTGCTCCACTACAGAAGACTGCATCTATTGTGTCACAAATTTGTTGGTTCAAAAATTTATCGACAGAACGCCAAAATCTGCGTCACCTAAAGAAATACCTGGAGAAGAAAGGTTGAGGGGAGAGGAAGTGCTCATACGAGAAGGGCTCAAACAGCTTTTCAAGGAGAGCTCAAACAAAATTGTTCGAACATATGCCCCAACCTAGCACAAAAGCTAATGAAGATTGTAAATGTCTGCTGCGCCCAGCAAATTTTGAATGAAGGCGATCACGCCCACAACGGATGGAGGGGGTACTGGGATGAGTGGCTTTCAAGTAATTCGTAATTCGTCGTCTTTTCTGAATGTCAAATGTTGAAAGTTGCTATGCACTCTGCTCGTATACAGGGGGGGGGGCAAAAAAGTCACTTTCCTTTCGTGGCGCTATAAGTTACACTTATAAATTCTGATCGGACATTTCTACCACCATATTAAAGAGCATATTAAATACTATTATGACACTCCGGACGAGCGCCATCGAGAGATTCTGGCACGCGACCGCGATGTGGTGCCTGAGATCAGCGAGATAGTCGATTTCTCCGCCACCGTAGACCACCCTATTGAACTCCGCCCGAACCGGGTAATTGAGGGGATTCAGGTCAGGTGACCTACTTGGATATTCCATCTTCTTTAGGTACTCAGCCCCCTTCCATTCCAAGTAGGCGAGAGTTTCTCCAACGCCCTTCGATTCCATGTGGTGGCACCCAATGCTGTAGCAGTACAAAGTTTCCAAGAAGGTACGGGCGACGACATGTGAGGAGGATATTCTTCACGAGTTGCTCGATGTAACCGCCAGCGCTCACCTTCAGTCCGGGGTCCACGAAGAAAATATTGGTCTTTCCATTCCAGGTACCCGGTCCATACCATCAACCCGCTCCTTGACGACTGCGGTGAAGATGATGTCCTAGACCGTAGCGACGTTGTCGGAGCTGCTCGATGTTGGAGGTCTTCCAGATTGAGAGTACTGGTCTCCAGGTAGCTATCCATGGGTGACTGTTTCGCAGCTGTTTGGAGGTGACATGAATTCCAAAGGTCTTCTCCAGTCAGGCTGCGACTGGAGATGACTTCATATTTTGGTGTACATGAAGGTGATGGGCGAGGGCCAGCTCCTGCTTATCGAGGAACATCTTGGGTATCTTCCGCCCTGGTACTCGTATCCACATCTCTCTGGGCTGCGAAAACTTTGCTGATATGTGACTCGGT